CCAAAAAAAAAAAAAAAAAAAACTTCCTAGGATGTACAAAAGCTGAAAGCTGAAATAATTCGTCACCAGCTGACACGTACTACAAGACATGTTAAAGATAGTCTGGGCAAAAGGAAAATGATATCAGATGGAAATACAGCTTTACACAAAAGAATGAAGACCACTAGAAATGTAATTACATGGACAAATATGTAAGATTTTTCACTTATTACTTAAAACTCACTAAAAGAAAATTAACTGTTTAAACAAAAACTAATAACAATGTGACGTGAGGTTTAACATAAGTAGAAGTAAAATTTATGATAAAATAGCACAAAACTCAGGAAAGGAGAAATGGTAGTAAACTACTGTAAGGCTCTCATAATATACGTGAAGCAATAACACTTATCACTTGAAGGTAGACTGTGACAAGCTAAAAAAGTATAATATAAACCTTAAAGCAACTACTAAAATAATGAGTTATAGGTAATAATACAACAAAGAAGATAAAGTTATTTTAAAAGTTCAATTAATCTTAAAATGATTTAAAAAAAAGAAAAAGCTGTAATAAAGAACAGGTGAGAGAAATGGAAAACAAGTAGCAAGATGATAGATTTAAACCTCACCATATTAGTAATCACATTAATGTAAATAGTTTAAATCTCTTAATTAAAAGGCAGGGATCGCCAGATTATTTTTTTTCAAAAAAGACAAAGGATAGAAAAAATATACAATGATAATGTTAATCAAAGGAAAGCTGAAATGACTATATTAATAACAAAGTAGATTCTAGATTAAAGAACATTCCCAATGATATAGAAAGGCACTGCACAATGATGAAAGCGTAAATGCAACAAGAGAATATAACAAACCTGAACAGTTATGTATCTAATAACAAAACTTTCAAAACATATGAAACAAGAACTGATAGAATTGCAAACAGAAATAGGCAAACGTACAGTCTGAAATTTCTTTACCCCTTGTTATAGATTGAACTGTGTCCCCCAAAATTTCATATATTGAAGCCCTAACCTCCAATGTGACCATATTTGAAGATGGGGCCTTTAAAGAGGTAATCAACATTAAATGAGGCCATAAGGGTAGGGAACTAACCCAAGAGGGCCGGTGTCCTTATATGAAGAAGAGACACTAGGGAAGCTTTGCACACAGAGGAAAGTTTCATGTGAGGACACAGTGAGAAGGTGACCATCTACAAACTAAAGAAAGAGGCCTTAGGAAAAACCAAACCTGTCAATACCTTGATCTGGGTCTTCCAGCCTGAACTGTAAGAAAATAATTTTCTGTTGTTTAAGCCACCCAAGCTGTGTTATTTTATTATGGCAGCCCTAGCAAACTAACATACCCTTTCTCAATAATTAATAATTATTTTTATCAATAATAATAATTGATAATTATTGCAGAAAATAAGCAAGGATACATAAGCCTTGAACAATATTATCAAAAACTTGACCTAACTGACATTTATAGAACATTTGACCTAACAGCAGCAGAATACACATTGTTTTCAAATGCATATGGAATATTTAGCACGGTAGACCATATTCTGGGACATAAAACAAGTCTAAACAAATTTTAAAGTATTCAAGTCATACTAAATATGTTCTCTGACCACAATGGGATTAAATTAGGAATCAGAAACAGAAAGATCTCAGTAAAATTCCCCAAGTATTCGGAAACTAAATAACACACTTCTAAGTAGTGCATAAGTTAATACATCATAGCAAACTGGGTTTCTCCCAAGAATGCAAGTTTGGTTGGTTTTACATTCAAATGTCAATCAATTAACTAAAACAAAACAAAACACAACAACAACAAAATAAACCTCTTATAAAATCTAACATCCATTTCCTGGTAAAAAAGTCAAATAGGAATAACAAGGGACTCCCTCAACTTCATAAAATTGTCTATGTGAAACCTACAGCAAACATCATACTTAATGATGAAAGACTAAATGCATTCCCTTTAAGATCTGAAACAAGGCAAGGTTTTCTGCAATCAATATTGCTATTTAACCTTGTCCCAGAAGTTCTAATCAGTGCAATCAGGCAAGAAAAGTAAATAAGAGGTATCCAGTTTGGGAAGGAGAAAGTAAAAACTGTCTTTAATCACAGATGACATCACTGTTTATGGAGAAAAAGCTGATGAAATCTACGAAAAAGCTCCAGAACTAACAAGTGAGTTTAGCAAAGATGAAGGATACAAGATCAATGAATGTACAAGCTGACTGTATTTCTACATACCAGCAATAAACATCCAGAAACTGAAATTCAAAAGATATTACCATTTATATTAGTATCAAAAATATGAAATACTTAGGGATAAATCTAACAAAATTGCAAAAGACCTATAAACTAAAAACTACAAAACACTGTGGAAAGAAATTAAAGAGGATATAAATAGATGGAGAGATATACCATGTTCATGGGTCAGAAGACTCAATGTAATTAAGACACAATTCTTCCCATAGAATCTATAGATTCAACAAAATCTCAATCAAAATCCCAGAAGGTTCTTTTTTTATTATTGGCAAACTGATTCTAAAATTCATATTTAAATGCAAAGCACTTAAAACTCCCAAAACAACTTTGAAGACTGCACATATTTAAGTGTACAATGTGATGCTTTCTATTATATTTTGAAAATGTGTCTTTAGTATAAAAACATTAAACTAAAGAGTTTCAAAGAAAGTATGTTCTTGGGATTCTACAAAACTAATAAAAATGAGGTACTGAATGAACACCTTGAATCCTCATTTTCCACAAAGCAAATGCTCCTCTGATACTGATAAAAGGAAAAGCAAATACGCAGCACACAGACCACAACCCCGTATTCCTTGACCAATGGCTGACAAGGAGAACCCCATGTGCAACTACTAATGGACTGGAATTGGCAGAGAACTCTTTCCGACATGCCATTCCAACTTTAAAGCATGCTCTGCTCAGCCCCAAACTTTCCCCTGCTATTCAAGTTGTCTAGAATGCTGGTAACTTATAGTTTTCTATTGTGACCATTTCTGGTCCCACCCTCCCCCAAGTCCTTCCTGACCACTTCAAGCTCCTCAGCAATCCTACAGCAGTCTCATCACTCAATCACATATCCCCTGGTGTTGATCTTGTCAAGCCTGTCAAATGAGGCAAAGTGTCCTGCACCAAGCAGAAGTCTTCTCGCCGGTTCTGCCACCTGCAGTACGAGCTCTATGACCCAGGGCAAGTCATACCTCTCTTCAAGGGAAAGGATACCCGCCCCCTCCTACCTATTAACCAAGCTACTGTAAATAGTCAAATGCTATGGCAGGTACCAGTTATGAACACTGGCAGTGTATGGGAATCACTT